TGACAGGAGGTCATAGAAAGCGTCTGACTCATCGGCTTTGCTTGCATCCCTCCACGGATGTTCGTCTTCGGTGGGGGCATAAGTAACCACGACCACCACTCCTCGCCTCTGGTTGATGGGAAGGCGAGCCCAAAGTATCCTGGGGCTTACAGCTTCCCACATCTCACCGCCACGCTCCCACGCCCCCTTCATTCTTTTGTTCAGAAGAAGAGCCACACCCTGTTGTTTGGCAGTCTCCTGCCCCGAGTAGAGGACTGTCCACCCCTCATGGTGGCAGAAGCCAGAACCGGTCCACCGGACCTCCTGAATGCCACAGAGATCCAGGCGGTACCGGTCCAGCTCCCGACAGAGGAGTGGCAGCCTCTCCTCCGCAGTGAGCGTTCGAACATTCCACGTGGCCATCCGCACACATACACACACACACTCACACACGCACGCACGCGCACACACGCACACTTACACACGCACGCTCACACACATACATGATGGAGACGATGATCACCGTGAAGATGACGACGGTGATGACAGTCATGTTGACCACGACGACGACGACAATGACGATGGAGTCGATGATCGCCGTGACGATGACGACAATGTTGATGACGATGACGACAATGTTGATGACGATGACGACAATGTTGATGACGATGACGACAATGTTGATGACGATGACGACAATGTTGATGACGATGACGACAATGTTGATGACGATGACGACAATGTTGATGACGATGACGACAATGTTGATGACGATGACGACAATGTTGATGACGATGACGACAATGTTGATGACGATGACGACAATGTTGATGACGATGACGACAATGTTGATGACGATGACGACAATGTTGATGACGATGACGACAATGTTAATGACGATGACGACAATGTTGATGACGATGACGACAATGTTGATGACGATGACGACATTGATTATGACGACAATGTTGATGACGATGACGACAATGTTGATGACGATGACGACAATGTTGATGACGATGACGACAATGACGACGACGATGATGATGGTCATGTTGATGACGATGACGACGATGATGACGATGATGACGATGACGATGGCGATGTTGACGATGATGACAGTGATGTTGATGATGATGACGACGACAATGACGACGATGATGACAGTGATGTTGATGACGACGACGACGGTGATGAGAGTTGTCCTCATGCCCCCCTACCCCCTACCCCCCTACCCCCCTACCCCCTACCCCCCTACCCCCTACCCCCTACCCCCCACCCCCCACCCCCCCACCCCCCACCCCCCTACCCCCTACCCCCCTACCCCCTACCCCCCTACCCCTACCCCCTACCCCCCTACCCCCCACCCCCTACCCCCTACCCCCCACCCCCCACCCCCCACCCCCCACCCCCCTACCCCCTACCCCCCTACCCCCCTACCCCCTACCCCCCTACCCCCTACCCCCTACAGGGGAGTACTTCATCGACCCCAACCAGGGCTGCGCTGGCGACGCGTTCAAGGCGTTCTGCAACTTCACCGCGGGCGGGGAGACCTGCCTCTTCCCCGAGAAGACCTCCGCCGCGGTGAGACGTCGCCAGCGCTCACCGCTCTCGTGGGGCTGGGGGGGGGGGGCGGGGGGGCCCCCCACGTGAATTGAAACTCTTTATGAGTGTGGGTCTCTGTGGGTCTCTGAGTCTGTGTGGGTCTATAGATCTCTATGAGTGTGGGTCTCTGTGGGTCTCTGTGGGTCTTGATGAGTATTGGTCTCTAATGGGTCTCTATTGGTGTGGGTCTCTATGGGTCTCTATGGGTCTCTGTGGGTCTCTGAGTCTGTGTGGGTCTATAGATCTCTATGAGTGTGGGTCTCTGTGGGTCTCTGTGGGTCTCTGTGGGTCTCTATGGGTCTCTGTGGGTCTCTGTGGGTCTCTGTGGGTCTCTATGAGTGTGGGTCTCTATGGGTCTCTATGGGTCTGTGTGGGTCTATGGGTCTCTATGGGTCTGTGTGGGTCTATGGGTCTCTATGAGTCTGTGTGGGTCTATGGGTCTCTATGAGTGTGGGTCTCTGTGGGTCTATGTGGGTCTCTGTGGGTCTCTGTGGGTCTCTATGGGTCTCTGTGGGTCTCTATGAGTGTGTGTCTCTGTGGGTCTCTGTGGGTCTCTGTGGGTCTCTATGGGTCTCTGTGGGTATATAGATCTCTATGAGTGTGGGTCTCTGTGGGTCTTGATGAGTATTGGTCTCTAATGGGTCTCTATGAGTGTGGGTCTCTGTGGCTCTCTGGGTCTCTATGGGTGTCTGTGGGTCTATAGATCTCTATGAGTGTGGGTCTCTGTGGGTCTCTGTGGGTCTTGATGAGTATTGGTCTCTAATGGGTCTCTATGAGTGTGGGTCTCTATGAGTGTGGGACTCTGTGGGTCTCTGTGGGTCTGTGTGGGTCTGTGTGGGTCTCTGTGGGTCTCTATGGGTCTGCGTGGGTCTATGGGTCTCTGTGGGTCTCTATGGGTCTCTATGGGTCTGCGTGGGTCTATGGGTCTCTATGGGTCTGTGTGGGTCTATGGGTCTCTATGAGTCTGTGTGGGTCTATGGGTCTCTATGAGTGTGGGTCTCTGTGGGTCTATGTGGGTCTCTATGGGTCTCTATGGGTCTGTGTGGGTCTATGGGTCTCTATGAGTGTGGGTCTCTGTGGGTCTCTGTGGGTCTCTATGGGTCTCTATTGGTCTGTGTGGGTCTATGGGTCTCTATGGGTCTGTGCGGGTCTATGGGTCTCTATGAGTCTGTGTGGGTCTATGAGTCTCTATGAGTGTGGGTCTCTGTGGGTCTCTGTGGGTCTCTATGGGTCTCTGTGGGTCTCTATGGGTCTCTGTGGGTCTCTGTGGGTCTCTATGGGTGTGGGTCTCTGTGGGTCTCTATGAGTATGGGTCTCTGTGGGTCTCTGTGGTTCTCTATGAGTGTGGGTCTCTGTGGGTCTCTATGAGTGTGGGTCTCTGTGGGTCTCTGTGGGTCTGTGTGGGTCTATAGATCTGTATGAGTGTGGGTCTCTGTGGGTCTCTGTGGGTCTCTATGAGTCTCTATGGGTCTGTGTGGGTCTATAGATCTCTATGAGTATGGGTCTCTGTGGGTCTTGATGAGTATTGGTCTCTAATGGGTCTCTATGAGTGTGGGTCTCTGTGGGTCTCTATGAGTGTGGGTCTCTGTGGGTCTCTATGAGTATGGGTCTCTGTGGGTCTCTATGAGTATGGGTCTCTGTGGGTCTCTATGAGTGTGGGTCTCTGTGGGTCTCTATGAGTGTGGGTCTCTGTGGGTCTCTATGAGTATGGGTCTCTGTGGGTCTCTATGAGTGTGGGTCTCTGTGGCTCTGTATGAGTGTGGGTCTCTGTGGGTCTCTATGAGTTTGGGTCTCTGTGGGTCTCTATGAGTATGGGTCTCTGTGGGTCTCTATGAGTATGGGTCTCTGTGGGTCTCTGTGGGTCTCTATGAGTGTGGGTCTCTGTTGGTCTCTATGAGTGTGGGTCTCTGTGGGTCTCTATGAGTGTGGGTCTCTGTGGGTCTCTATGAGTGTGGGTCTCTGTGGGTCTCTATGAGTATGGGTCTCTGTGGGTCTCTATGAGTGTGGGTCTCTGTGGGTCTCTATGGGTGTGGGTCTCTGTGGGTCTCTATGAGTGTGGGTCTCTGTGGGTCTCTATGAGTATGGGTCTCTGTGGGTCTCTGTGGTTCTCTATGAGTGTGGGTCTCTGTGGGTCTCTATGAGTGTGGGTCTCTGTGGGTCTCTGTGGGTCTGTGTGGGTCTATAGATCTGTATGAGTGTGGGTCTCTGTGGGTCTCTGTGGGTCTCTATGAGTCTCTATGGGTCTGTGTGGGTCTATAGATCTCTATGAGTATGGGTCTCTGTGGGTCTTGATGAGTATTGGTCTCTAATGGGTCTCTATGAGTGTGGGTCTCTGTGGGTCTCTATGAGTATGGGTCTCTGTGGGTCTCTATGAGTATGGGTCTCTGTGGGTCTCTATGAGTGTGGGTCTCTGTGGGTCTCTATGAGTGTGGGTCTCTGTGGGTCTCTATGAGTATGGGTCTCTGTGGGTCTCTATGAGTGTGGGTCTCTGTGGCTCTGTATGAGTGTGGGTCTCTGTGGGTCTTTATGAGTTTGGGTCTCTGTGGGTCTCTATGAGTATGGGTTTCTGTGGGTCTCTATGAGTATGGGTCTCTGTGGGTCTCTGTGGGTCTCTATGAGTGTGGGTCTCTGTTGGTCTCTATGAGTGTGGGTCTCTGTGGGTCTCTATGAGTGTGGGTCTCTGTGGGTCTCTATGAGTGTGGGTCTCTGTGGGTCTCTAGGAGTATGGGTCTCTGTGGGTCTCTATGAGTGTGGGTCTCTGTGGGTCTCTATGAGTGTGGGTCTCTGTGGGTCTCTATGAGTGTGGGTCTCTGTGGGTCTCTATGAGTATGGGTCTCTGTGGGTCTCTATGAGTATGGGTCTCTGTGGGTCTCTGTGGGTCTCTATGAGTGTGGGTCTCTGTGGGTCTCTATGAGTGTGGGTCTCTGTGGGTCTCTATGAGTGTGGGTCTCTGTGGGTCTCTATGAGTGTGGGTCTCTGTGGGTCTCTATGAGTGTGGGTCTCTGCGGGTCTCTATGAGTGTGGGTCTCTGCGGGTCTCTATGAGTGTGGGTCTCTGTGGGTCTCTGTGGGTCTACCAGTCTGTAGAAACACACGTTTAGATTATTTGTCCGTAATACATTTCCACACGATGACGATGATGAGCCAAATCTTGACTTGAAGCTTCCGTGACAGCAGCAATTAATATTCTTACAGCGCTCCCGCTATATCTATGTTTTCACCTGATGACGATTGCTCGCGTTGCGATCGAAATGTCGTGATATTTTTATTATTATTTTCCTATCTACGTGGCTTTAGCGAAAGACCCGCAGAATATAAAGATGAAATAATAAAAATAAAACACGATAAGATACAATTCTCACGACGTTTCGGCCACAACGCAAGCAGCCGTCCTCAGACGCTGCTTGCGTTGTGGCCGAAACGTCGTAAGAATTTTATCTTATGATGTTTTATTTTATTATTATATTATTTCCCTTCTACGTGGTGACTTTACCGAAAGAACCAAGAATATGAATCCATGCAGTCACGAAAGCTTCAAATCTTTCGGTAAAGTCACGTAGAAGGGAAATAATATAAATAAAAAGTAATAAAATACAATTCTCACGACGTTTCGGCCACAACGCAAGCAGCCGTCCTCAGGTGAAGAACAGACCTGTGTTCATTGGGACGCTGTCTCCCCGACAGACCTGTTCTTCACCTGAGGACGGCTGCTTGCGTTGTGGCCGAAACGTCGTGAGAATTGTATTTTATAATGTTTTATTTTTATCATTGTATTATTTCCCTTCTACGTGACTTTACCGAAAAAACCAAGAATATGAATCCATGCAGTCACGCAAGCTTTAAATCGAAATTTAAAGATGATAAGCCAATTCGTTGAGCTGCTACCATTTGCGTTGGCCACGTCAGGGCCTTCTTATGAACAGAACTACACATCTCAGTGAGGCCTTAATCTGGTAAATTAAAAGAAAAAAACGGTTCTAGATGTGAAGCTTTCGTGACTGCAAGGATTCATATTCTTAGGTTTTTTTCGGTAAAGTCACGTAGGTAAAAAATTTAAATTAGAAGTAAAATAAAATAAAAATCACGACGTTTCGGAGGCAACACAAGCTTCCGTCTTCAGGTGGAACAGTCACAGCACGATTGCTGTATCAAGTAAAAGATACAGCAAATAAATGATACAGCAAATAAATGATACAGCAAGCTTGCTGTGACGGCTGTGACGGTTCCACCTGAAGACGGAAGCTTGTGTTGCCTCCGAAACGTCGTGATTTTTATTTTCATTTTATTTTACTTTTATTAATTTTAATTTTTTACCTACGTGACTTTACCGAAAAAAACCTAAGAATATAAAAAAAACGGTTCTTCGTTTTGTTAACTTGAATCGGCCACTGTGCCCTGTGTTGTGAAGTGTCAATACCCCTGTGCCCTGTGCCCTGTGTTGTGAAGTGTCAATACCCCTGTGCCCTGTGCCCTGTGCCCTGTGTTGTGAAGTGTCAATACCCCTGTGCCCTGTGTTGTGAAGTGTCAATACCCCTGTGCCCTGACCCCTGTGCCCTCTGCCCTGTGCCCTCTGCCCTCTGCTCCAGGCCAAGATGGGCCAATGGCTGCACGAGAAACCAGGGACATGGTTTAGTGAGTTCGGCACCGGCAGGATGGTACGCGCACACACAGACACACACACTCACACACAAGCACTCACACTCACACACACACACTCACACACACACAGGCACACACACACACTCATACACAGGCACATACACTCACACACAGGCACACACACACACAGGCACACACACACACACACTCATACACAGGCACACACACTCACACACAGGCACACACACACACAGGCACACACACACACACTCACACACACACAGGCACACACTCACACACAGGCGCACACACACACACAGGCACACACACACACACAGGCACACACACTCACACACACACAGGCACACACACACACTCACACAGGCACACACATGCATTCACACACACACACAGGCACACGCATACAGGCACACACACACAGGCACATGCATACAGGCACACACACACACTCACATACACTCACACACTCTCACACACGCACACACTCACATACACACACGCCTACAGGCACACACTCACACAGACACACTCACATACAGGCACACACACACTCACACACAGGCACACACACATACAGGCACACACACACTCACACACAGGTACACACTCACACTCACGCAGACACACACTCACATACAGGCACACACACACACACAGGCACACACTCACACGCACACTCACACACTCACACAAGCACACATCAGCTAGCTGAGACCAGGCCACTGGGTTTGAATGGGGTCCTGGGTGTACACCCACCACCGGAGTGGAAGAATGGCAGGCGCATCTTACTGATGACAAGTCGATGGTCTGTGGGCAGATCAGCTCCACGGTAGGTCCTGGTGTCAAGGACATGGGCCCGCATCTGCTGATCCGTCACTACGTAGTCCAGCAGATGTTCTTGCTTGGACCCGGCATGCATCCATGATGTTGTGTGGATGCGCCGATGCCGGAAGAGCGTGTTGGTAATTACAAGCCCATGGGCTGCACAGAAATCTAGCAGCCTCCTACCGTTGTTATTGAGCTGATCTGGCCCATGCCTTCCAATCACTCCAGACCAGGTGCCAGCATCATGACCAACTCGAGCATTGAAGTCACCCAACAGGATGACTCTGTCCCGAGGGGCCACTTTAGCCAGCACCTGTGACAGGAGGTTATAGAAGGCATCCGACTAATCGCTCCTTGTCTGCATCATGCCACTGATGTTCATCTTCGGTGTGGGAGTAAGAAACCACCACCACCACCACCACCACTCATCGCCTCTTGTTGATGGGGAGGCGATCCCAGAGTAGCCTGGGACTTACACCACACACACAGACACGGCGAGACACATGCACACAGACATGCCTACTACACACACGCCCACACATGTAATAGGCGCTGGGGAAGTCATTCACTGTGCGTGTTTGCAACAGTGTGTGAAGGGTATATGGGGGATCTTTGTCTGTAGTGTAGCAGGTAGCGCTACGCTGCGCTACGAACCCGCCGACCCGAGTTCGATTCCCGCTCGCGGCCAAGGCCGGTGACGATTATCTGGACCGGTCCTGGGCCTCCCCTAGGTCGACTCGGCCTAACACGAGTACCTGGCGCGGCGTGTAGCAAACATCGCCCCTGGGGAGACAAAGGCGGCCGGGCGTGGTGCTGGCCACCCACCCCCTCGTGTGCCGCTGTGCCGGTAGCCTTCATAGGTGCTGCTGCTCGCTTAACAGCACTTGCCCCTACAGTCTGCGAAGGCTACACGGGAAACCCTTGTCTTTGTGCGTGTGTGCGTGCGTGTGTTTGTGTGCGCGCGTGCGTGTGTGCGTGTGTGTATGTGTGGGTGTGTATGCGTGTGTACATACGTGTGTGTGTGCGTGTGTGTGCGTGTGTGTGTGCGTGCGTGTGCGTGTGTGTGCGTGTGTGCGTGCGCGTGCGCGTGCGTGCGCGTGTGTGTGTGTGTGTGTGCGTGTGCGCGCGTGTGTGCGCGTGCGTGCATGTGCGTGCGCGTGTGCGTGCGTGCGTGTGCGTGTGTGCGTGTGTGCGTGTGCGTGCGCGTGCGACGCAGCTGGCCTACGTGGACGCGGAGGGCGGCTCGCTGCCCTCGGTGCAGATGACTTTCCTGCGCCTGCTGAGCGCCACCGCGCGCCAGAACTTCACCTACCTGTGCCAGCGCTCGGTGGCGTGGGGGGCGCCCCGCGCCGCCGGGGGGGGGGCCCCCCCCGCCGCCGCCGCCGCGGCCCCCCACGACGGCGCCCCCCCCGGCACGGCCCAGGCGCTGCGCTTCCTCGCCGCCAACGAGGAGGAGATCTCGCGCGAGAGCAACGCGCGCTACGTGCAGGCGCTGCACGACGGGTGCTCGGTACGTACCGGAGCTCGCGTCCACCCCACACCCCCCCGTGTGTCACCCGGCGTGTCACCCGGCGTGTCCCCCGCGTGTCACCTGCGTGTCACCCGCGTGTCACCCGCGTGTCACCCGCGTGTCCCCCGTGTGTCACCCGCGTGTCACCCGCGTGTCACCCGCGTGTGTCACCCACGTGTCACCCACGTGTCATCCACGTGTCCCCCGTGTGTGTCATCCACGTGTGTCACCCACGTGTCACCCGTGTGTGTCACCCGCGTGTGTCACGTGTGTGTCCCCCGGGTCGTCTGCTGTGCCAATTGCGCCGCCTCATCCCTCTCCGCGCGTGAAGCTGCTGCTGCCCCCCGAGTGACGTCACGATCACCGTGCGTGTCCGTGTGTGTCTGTCCGTGCGTGCGTGTGTCCGTGCGTGCGTGTCCATGTCTGTCCGTGTGTGTCTGTCGTCCGTGCGTGTCCGTGCGTGTCTGTCCGTGCGTGTCTGTCCGTGCGTGCGTGTCTGTCTGTGCGTGTCCGTGCGTGCGTGTCTGTCCGTGCGTGCGTGTGTGTCCGTGCGTGTGTCCGTGCGTGTGTGTCCGTGCGTGCCCGTGTGTGTCCGCGTGCGTCCGTGCGTGCGTGTCCATGCGTGTCCGTGCGTGCGTGTCCGTGCGTGTGTCCATGCGTGTCCGTGCGTGCGTGTCCATGCGTGTCCGTGCGTGCGTGTCCATGCGTGTCCGTGCGTGCGTGTCCGTGCGTGCGCGCAGTTCCGCAAGGGCTCGGAGCGCTCGGTGCTGAGCGTGCGGACTCCGCGCGTCGAGCTGCTGCCCCTGAGCGACGTCATGATCAGCGACTTTGGGGAGCCCTCCCAGCGCTTCGGGTTCACCCTGGGGCCCGTCTGCTTCCAGGGGTAGAGAACCCCCGGTGGGGGGGGGGGGGGGGGCCGTGAAGAGACCCCCTCCTCCCATCCCCTTGCCCGACGGGGGTTGTGTGGGCGGCGGGGGAGGCGGCCGTTCTTGCCACGCGGTCGGCGCCGAGAGGGCGGCGGTGGTGGGGGTGGCGGGGGTGGCGGGGGGGGGGGAGGCCCCCCCCAACCACCAGCCGGTTGCGTGGAGAGACCCGGGGGGAGGGAGTTGGTGGTGGGGGGGGGGCTCCATTGGGAGGAGCCGTCCGCCACGACCGCCACCGCTCGGTTGCCTCCGCGCCAGGCCTTGCCCGGCCCGGCGGTCGTCGTTGGATCCTGCACCGTCGTGTTAGCACCGCCCCCCCCGGGTGGTAACGTGGGGGGGGGGGGGGGAGATGGCGGCCCCTGGTTTATAATCCACACCACTTGAATTTATCGGTTTCGGTTGCTTCTAAAATTTGCCTTAATGCCCCCCGCCCGCCCACCCGCCGCCCCGAGCTTTTTGTGACTGTGATAGAGCCCCTTTGAGTTACACCGCCCTCCCCCTGCCCACCAACCCCCCCCCCTTCACCTCGACCACCACCCCCCCCCAAACTCCCATCCATCTCGCGAACCCGTTGCCACAGCCATAGCCAGAGCAGCCTTCCATCGGCCACAAACCTAGCCAGGGCCGTGTCACCGTCACCGCCACCACCACCTCTCCGTGTTGTGCGACGTCTCCCCCGCCCGTGGGGATGATCCGCTGCGTTGCCGGCTAGCGCCCAGTGGTGGTGCTAAAGTGGTGGTGGTGGTGCTAAAGCGGTGGTGGTGCTAAACGGTCGTGGTAGTGGTGGTGGTGGTGCTAAACGGTCGTGGTAGTGGTGGTGGTGCTAAAGCAGCGGTTGTATTGGTGCTATAGCGACGGTGTAGGTCGTGCTAAAGCGGCGGATGAGCTAAGAGGCACCGTTAAAGAGGTTTCATACGAACGGCAAAACCCTGTCCACCACCACCACCACGAGACTTCTCGCTCACGGCCTGTTTGTCCGTTGTTTCGCGTCGTCGCCATACCCACGGGCATGGGAAAGACGATGAAATCTATACAACATTCCCCCCTTTTTCCTGCTGCTCCTGCTGCTTCCCACACACACACACGCACTGCCCCACCCCCTCCAACCAACCCACCTCAACCCTGCCCACCTTACTACCACCACCACCCCACGCCTGCCAAATAAAAGGGTAAATTTGCCGCAGAGAATAAAAAACTAACTGGGAGCAGGATTTGGCTGGTTCAGCAGCGATGTCTCCATCCGTCTGCAGAACAACGCCCGTCGGTTTAGCGCGTAAATGTTTTGTTATTAAACCCGCCATCCACCACCACCACCGCAACCACCACCGCCACCACCACCCCGACCACCACCTACCGGCACAGCCTTTTCACGAGTTCATCCCACGCCGGTGAGCGTGCGTGGCAACATTGAACAATTTACAAGTGCCGTGCAGTTTCGCCCCTGGTGATTTACAACAAAACCACAACCGCAACAACAACAACAACCAAACACAACCACCAGCATCAACTTGGGGGGCGTGGCGTGTGATTTTCAAAACATAAAAGAATTGAAGAAGTTGTAGGAGGTCCTGTGGGGTGGTTGTGGTTGTGGGTGGTTGTGGTTGTGGGTGGTGGTGGGTGGGTGAAGGGTGGTGGCACGATCTCCCACCCTGCACTCCCCTCAGCGGGCAAGCCCCTTGGCGTGTTTAATTTAACGACTGACGGTACTTTGTTATATAAAAATAAAATTAAAGTTCTACGTGTATTGATGGTGCTCTCACTCGCCACCTCGCCCTGCCCACCCTCCATCACCTCCCTCGCCTCCCTCCCCCTTTCTCTCCCCCACCTCCCTTCTTCCCTCCCTCCCCCCCCTCCCCTCCCTCCCCCCCCTCCCTCCCCCCCCTCCCTCCCCCCCTCCCTCCCCCCCTCCCTCCCCTCCCCCCTCCCTCCCCCCCCTCCCTCCCTCCCCCCTCCCTCCCCCCCCTCCCTCCCTCCCTCCCCCCTCCCTCCCCCCCTCCTTCCCCTCCCTCTTTCCCTCCCCCACCTTTCTCCCTCTTTCCCTCCCTCCCCAACCTTTCGCTCCAAGCAGCTGCCCTCCAGTGCGCATCAACCCGTGCGTGCGCACACACACACACACGCGCACAGACACACGCATACACACACACGCGCGCACACACACACATACACACGCGCATACGCGAACATACACACACACGCACGCACACACACGCGCACATACACACACGCACACACACACACGCACGCGCGCACACACACACGTGCACGCACGCACACACACGCACGCACACACACGCGCGCACATACACGCACACGCGCACACACACGCACATACACGCACACACACACACGCACATACACGCACATACACGCACACACACACGCACGCGCGCACACACGCACATACACGCACGCACACACGCGCACGCGCACACACACACGCACATACACGCACACACACACGCACATACACGCACACACACACGCGCACGTCTGTAATTATGTTCAAAGCCTGCAATGGCTCGTCTTCTACCGCGACCGTGTAGTCGTCGCCATTCGCGATGGGGAGTCGTGTCGTCGTCGTCGCATCGTCGTCGTCATTGTCACCCCGCGTGTCATCGGTCGGAGCGTCTCGACTCGTCAAATAAAACACGCGAGAGACTATGCCGGCTTCCGTGGCGCGTTGCGTCGCGCGCCTTGGCCACGTGCCGCGCGAAAGAAGTTGGACAAAGGCACGGACGTGCCCGTCCATCGTTCCTATTGGGTCCCCTGAGAATTACACCCAACCCACCCACCTATCCACTCACTCACCCATCCACCTATCCACCCACTCACCCATCCACCTATCCAACCACTCACCCACCTATCCACCCACTCACCCACCTATCCACCCACTCACCCACCCACCTATCCACCCACCCACCACCTATCCACCCACTCACCCACTCCACCTATCCACCCACTCACCCATCCACCTATCCACCCACCCACCCACCTATCCACCCACTCACCCACCCACCTATCCACCCACTCACCCACCCACCTATCCACCCACTCACCCATCCACCTATCCAACCACTCACCCACCTATCCACCCACTCACCCACCTATCCACCCACTCACCCACCCACCTATCCACCCACCCACCCACCCACCTATCCACCCACTCACCCACCCACCTATCCACCCACTCACCCACCCACCTATCCACCCACTCACCCATCCACCTATCCAACCACTCACCCACCTATCCACCCACTCACCCACCTATCCAACCACTCACCCACCCACCTATCCACCCACCCACCCACCTATCCACCCACTCACCCACCCACCTATCCACCCACTCACCCATCCACCTATCCACCCACCCACCTATCCACCCACTCACCCACCCACCAATCCACCCACTCACCCACCCACCTATCCACCCACTCACCCACCCACCTATCCACCCACTCACCCATCCACCTATCCAACCACTCACCCACCTATCCACCCACTCACCCACCTATCCAACCACTCACCCACCCACCTATCCACCCACCCACCCACCTATCCACCCACTCACCCACCCACCTATCCACCCACTCACCCATCCACCTATCCACCCACCCACCCACCTATCCACCCACTCACCCACCCACCTATCCACCCACTCACCCATCCACCTATCCACCCACTCACCCACCCATATACTCACCCACTCACCTATACACCCACTCACCCACCCACCTATCCAACCACTCACCTATCCACCCACTCACCCACCCACCTATCCACAGATCCACCCACCTATACACCCACTCACCCACCCACCTATCCACTCACCCACCCACCTACCCACGCACCCATCCACCCACCGACCCACTCAACCACCTATACACTCACCCACCCACCCACTCACCCACAGACCCACCCACTCACACATCCACCTACCCATCCACTCCCCTACCCATTCGCCCACCCACTTACCCATCCACTCACCCACCCATATACTCACCCACCCACATATCCACTCACCCACCCACCCACTCACCCACAGACCCACCCACTCACTCACACACCCACTCACCCATCCACTCTCCCACCCATTCGCCCACCCACTTACCCATCCACTCACCCACCCATATACTCACCCACCCACATATCCACTCACCCACCCACCCACTCACTCACACACCCACTCACCCATCCAATCTCCCACACATTCGCCCACCCACTTACCCATCCACTCACCCACCCATCAACTCACCCACCAATTCACCCACCCACCCATCCACTCACCTACCCATTCGCCCACCCACTTACCCATCCACTCACCCACCCATCAACTCACCCACCAATTCACCCACCCACCCATCCACTCACCTACCCATTCGACCACCCACTCACCCATCAACTCACCCACCAATTCATCCACCCACCACCCACCCACTCACTCACCCATCCACCCCCACCCACCCCCGCTCACCCACCCACCCACCACACACGGTTCCTCAAGTACCACACTGAGTCACGTGGCGCCCTGCAGAGTTCATCACCAAATCTTTATTGCAAAAAATTAGCAGCAGGAGGAGGGAGGGGGGGACAGACCTCTCCTCTCTCTCTCCCTCCCCCCGTGCCGCTGACCGAACGCGAGTTCCCAATACCTTTGGCGGGCAACCCACACACGCACGCGCACAGATAAAGATAAAGATCCCCCATATAGCCTGAACAGACTGTAGGGGCAAGTGCTGTTAGCGAGCACCTATGAAGGCCGGAACGGCACACGAGTGGGTGGGTGGCCAGCACCACCACGCCCGACCGCCTTTGTCTCCCCAGTGGCAATTTATACAACACCGCACCAGGTACTCATTTGAGGCTGAGTCGACCTAGGGGAGGGCCCGGGACCGGTTCAGATAATCGTCACTGGTGGTGTTGGCCGTGAGCGGGAATCGAACTCGTGTCGCCGGGTTCATAGCGCAGCGCGCTAACCGCTGCACTATCGCTCCCCACACGCACACACGCACACACGTACACACGCGCACACGCACGCACAAGCGCACGCACACACACGCACACACACACACAAGCGCACGCACACACACACGACTCGGTGACTGCCGTCACAGTGAAGAGGCCCTCGGATGCGCCAATCCGGCACGTGGCGACGGAGCCGGGCTGAGCTTGGTGACGGCAGCAGCTACAGCATCAGCAGCTACAGCATCAGCAGCAGCTGCTGCAGCAGCAGCATCAGCAGCAGCTGCTGCAGCAGCAGCATCAGCAGCAGCTGCAGCAGCAGCAGTAGCTGCAGCAGCAGCAGCTACAGCAGCAGCGGCAACAACAGCAGCAGCAGCATCATCGCAACACGCGGACAGCTGCATGTCTCCCCGATCCAGAATACCCCTCCCACACACACACGCCGATCCACCGCACCCACCGCACCGACTTCACCGCACCCACCGCACCCACCGCACCCCCCCCCCCACCGACTTCACCATCTTCACCGCACCCACCCCCCCCACCGCACCTACCGCGCCCACCAGCTCCTGTCGGCGCCTCGCGGGCCGAGCGAGAGGCTCCGCGTGCCGCCGTCTGCCGGCGCTCGGCAAAAGCCGGGGGAGAGGTGGGGTGGGGGGGGAGAGGTGGGGTGGGGGGGGAGAGGTGGGGTGGGGGGGGAGAGGTGGGGTGGGGGGGGAGAGGTGGGGTGGGGGGGGAGAGGTGGGGTGGGGGGGGAGAGGTGGGGTGGGGGGGGAGGTGGGGAAAGGTGGGGTGGGGGGGTGGGGGAGAGGTGGGGGGGGGTGAGGGGGTGGGGTGGGGGGAGAGGTGGGGTGGGGGGGGAGAGGTGGGGTGGGGGGGGTGGGGGGGTGGGGGGCGGCCCGTCATGCGCTAGATGTAGGTGATGGCCGCGTCGCCGGTACCACCCCCGCCGCTGGTAGTGCCTGTGCCGGTAGTGCCGCTGGTGGCTGTGCCGCTGGTGGCTGTGCCGGCGTGCAGCTCGATGTACGAGGTGGGGACGTAGCCCTCGTCGGAGCCGCGGCGCACGCGGGTCCAGCCGTCACCGCCGTCGCCCGTCACCACGAACAGGATCTCCCCTTCCACCACGCTCAGCGAGTCCTCGCTGTCCGCTGCACACACACACACGCACACAGACACGCAGACGCACAGACACATTGAGACACACGCACAGACACATGGAGACACACGCACAGACACGGAGACACACGCA